TGTACGCTTTCATCCACAAGAAAAACAAAGCAAATATCATAAGCTAAGTTAATTTAAGCACTAGCTTCTCACCAGTAGCCAGATAACAACTCCAGAAATCCCAGATAGCAGTATGATACAGGCAAGGATTGGCCACTGTGACGTAATAGAAGTCAATAACTGTTCCCGCGACTCAGCCTCACATATTTTAGTGTTTACAATCATTGAACAACCCGATGATACAAATGCACGGATGAGCGTCTCATCGGATTTACCGTTAAGCGCTGCCTTCGCGTCCGCTTGAATGGGAAAAGCGAAATCCACGCTCTTGTTTTTGATCAATTCAACGATCTCCACCCAACTACGGACATATATGGGCACCATTTTGCAAGCTTCTTGATCATTTTCTTGTCTGTCGAAGCACGTAAAGTCTACAAACCACTTTATTTTGTCGTACATAAAGCCCTTTTCAACGCTTGAGTTCATAATGTAAGGTGGAAAGTCTAGCAGAGCGATGCTGTAATTACATTTCGTCTCGGGTTGATCTGACTGACGATTTCGACGGGCTTGACGAGTATCTCGATGTGACCTGATTTCCCTGACTTGCCGGGCCAATCTGGAATGATGACTTGAATCGATCTGACGAGTTTTGCCATTGACGAGCCAAAAATAAGAGCAGACCAGAAGGCAAAAGACAAGCCTTTCAGGGACACCATGCATTGTAAACACCGCTGAAGAAGCCGCGTACTGGATTAAAATCTGCTTGGAAGCAAGAAGTCTCCAAATTCAGGTGTTGACATACAAATCTGAAACAATATTTGAAGCCAGAGTTACAACGCGTTCTTTTATGAGGCTCATTTTCTTTGCAAGCATTGATAATGGTTTTCCTGGCTTTTTTTCAGGAAAACGTCAACAAATTATTTTCATTGCAGGAACATTGTCAGTGGGATTTCCTGAAATATGAAACGCAGGAAATTTGCCTTGTTTTGGGAAATATATTGTCGTGCTCTCGAAATGAATAAAGAAAGCAATTATTTAAGGCAATTTTCATCTCCGTCAAAAGATACAACTGCAAAGCCCACTTGAAAACAAAAGAAGCCCAACTTGTTGTAATACTTTTCCATCTTTGGTCCCTGTCAACTTCCCAATAAATCCCTGTCATTTCACGAGTAACTCACTCAAAATCCAAAAGCCATTAACGTCTGGTTTGCTATTATCAGTAACTAAAGTTAAAAGCATCCATAAATCATTCTCAACTAATAAACATTAACATAAATCGGGGCCGCAGTAATGAAGTCTAATACAACTGCACAATTATTCCTTAAACTCATTACATTGCATTACTTTATTATCAAGATGATATTACAATTGGTGAAAGAGCTCTAAATCGCGTTTTATTTGCATTAAAGGCAGGGAATACATTTACAGTGATCAAAGTAAAATTATACACCATTTTCCCGTAAATAAAAGCTCTTGGAATAATCAATGCAAGGGAATTTCACCCTAAAACTCATCCTCTTAATAAAATATAGGAAATAATACTTGATAATCGTATATTTTCCTATGGTATTATTATACGAAGTTGAATCTGATTATTCAGTCCAGGCGATCTTTTGAAGACCACATGAGCTTTAAACGCTTATAGCTTTAAAACCATTGAAGAGATGGAACTCAAATTTGGTGGCCTTTCCTAAATTTATTAGGGAACAATTCGATATGACCTGTCATTGTTCAAGGAACTTGCATGCATCTATAACGTTTTTATGGCCACAATGTCCGGGCGCGGGTTTCATCCTGTGATTGAACAATGAGCAATTCGATGCTTAAAGGAGCTCCAAATACCGCAGAATGGGACAAATAATCACAGACGATGTCTTTAGAGCACGTACTTGCGCTGTGTACATAATGTTTCAAAAAGCCCGGGCTCTCTTCGCCAGAGTTTTAAAACATCACCACATTCATTATTCTGCGTAATCGACACGAAAACGGCGGGTGATTTGTATTATTGGCGGAAATTTTTTAAACAATGTTTTGACAGGATCTTTGATGTTACTAGAGATAAACTGAGATACAGGATAACACATTTCAATGCGAAAGCAAAACAGACTACACCAGACACTGCGTGGGTGTTATTGCAGGACTGCCGAAAGCGATTCATCAAAAACGATTACCGAATTCAACCGCCCTCATTCAAGCTACTGCAGGAGGTATATTAAAAATGAACTCTAGCGCGAACAAATCACGTCAAACAGCGAAATTCAACTTAAACTATTGTGTAGTAGTCAGTCAAGGAAGACGAGGATGCTCCCAAGCTATTGTGCGGCCGATTGATGAAGTGCGGCAAACGGATGTTGTCATAATTTGAAATTGCATGCAAGTTTCGATAATATATTAACTCGAGAATAGGTAATGTATATTTATGAACGGTAAAAATGAAGACAAATCAGCCCTGATCAAGGAAACAATCATTCTAGGAAATTCAAGTAATAACGGTGAACAAATAAGTTCCCATCAGCTTGCTGGAGGTTCAAAAGCTGTAGCGAAACTGTAAACAAAATTGTATTACCAGAAACACTCTTAAAAACCACTCGAGTATTGATTCTGCGCGAAACATGACGAGGCAGTATTGTCCGACAAAAAAAAAATGTGATGGTTTCACGACAAACTTTTAACAAATGTGTCGGAAATGGTAGAGTTATACTGTCTATCAAATAAAATACTTGTTTATAGAAAAAGAATATACAACTTTCTTGTTGCAGTGACTAACCTTCAAGTGTGCTCTCGTTTTGACTTGCAGATTCTTTACAAATCGTAAATCCGGCCTCGTCAATATCAGGCGGGGAGATATCAGGTAGCCTGAATTTCAGGTTGATTGCGGCCTGAGTCAGTTTTGCCAAAGCTCGCTAAACAGATTGAAGACAATATTTCCAAATCGACAACAAATTGAGAATAAGGAAAGCGCGACAATGTTTTGGCACTGTGGTGTAAGTAATTTAAAACTTGTTAGTCGGTCGTAGAATTAACATATTATTGTTCCGTCTTCGTTGCAAATTTGCGGTAATACACAAAAAGAGCCTCAAAGTACGTCATTAGCACATTAGGTCTTCCGTCCAAAAACTGTCAATTAGTTTGAAAACCTCATTATACATTAAATAGCGAACTGCAACACGTTTTAATGTCATAAGAGTAAAAAGAAAATGTTTAGAGAATAAAGACATTAGGAATTTGGTCGAATTTAAGTCTACATGGCTTTAAAAGCGTTGCCCATGTACGCGGTCAACAAAACAGGTGAAACAATTCGTGTGCTGGTCAGTAATCCATAAAGAGCTGCTCATGGCCACTGCTTCATATATGTGATAACAAAGAAGCGGGCAAACAGAACTTCACAGTCATAACTCACTGTGAAGAGTTCAAAGATAATCATAATTCGCCGCACTAGGTTCATTTACTCGAACAAGGAATATCTTCACTTACCGTAATATATTCTGACAATATTCTGCGTCATCTAACCGTAGAATGCAAGAAAACCAGCACTAACTAACGTTCAAACAATATATGAAGAGATCTACTCATAACGGTGAGAAAAAAACATGGGGAGATCTGCGGCTGCGTTTTGTTGATTGAAGAAAATAAAGGTGATTCTTGAATCTCAATTGGCCATTTTTAACTCCTTGAAAGATGTTTTAGTTGCGGTTTTTGCGGAACATCTATTTACGTTATATAGAGCTTGTGGTGGTCTTAATCAATATCGTAATTTATATACTCGCTTTCAAAAACAGATCGTCAGTATAACCTGCGAAACCGTGTTTCCAAACTTATTTTAGCTGCGTTCTGTAAAAGTTTATGAAAAGTCTCTTCACAACGTTTCGCGCAAGTTTTAAACTTTATTCAACTCCTCTGACAACGTTTTGAATTTGTAATTTGCAAATTTGGCAAGCGCTTCTCTTTCTCTCTTTTTAGCTGGCGCCGAGAAACAGGTCTCACCCGCACTCAGTGTAAATAAATACTTCACCAGCTATTATGTTTACTTCAGCATTGCTTCTGGTGCAAGAGAGTTTTTCAAGAATATATTGTCCCTCATAAATAATATCTGTCTTCTACAAACCGTAATGATTCAAATTCAGTCACATATTAATTACCTTACGTCAGGCCAGGATTATAAATTAACTATATTTATACTATGAGCTATAAACTTATTGCAAGAAAAAAGGTTCTCGCTCTGGCTTATCCGTGACTTAACAGCTAAGATTCATAAGAAAAAGTCGATTGCCTACTGGTAGAGAGTGAGAGAGGAAAAAAATATCTTAAAACTTAAAAGCAAAATTAATGTTATGAGGTTTTGGCGGCTGATTTCGATTACTAAGAAGAATTATTAGAAGCTTTTGAATAAGTTACACTTTAAAAGGCGAAATAAATTTCTAGTACATCTGTACATTACGATTTAATGTACAACTGTTCGCTATGCCGAAAAAAAAAAAAAAAAACTGAAAACATACGTATCTTGTTAGTTCTCGATAAAGCACATTTCAGGCAGGTGTCTATGCGATGTAACAAAATGACGCCTGAAGGTGAATTTATTTTGACATTCGAAGGCAATAGACTTTCTCGAATAATTGAAGTCCGCCTCCGGTGGCAAGATAATAACAAAAACATGAAATCAATTAAGCGTCTAGATGTAAAGGAGTCATGCGAACGAAGTTTGAAATTTAGATCTTTACAATTGGAGGTGTTGTCTCAAAGTCTGAAGGCGACGCTGACTCAGAAACAAAGGGTGGGGGAAGGAAAACTCCCGCACAATGTTCAATAGATATTGATACGCCCTGAGTCACTGGGTAATTTTAATTGTGGAGAAGAAAAGAAGAAAATTAAAGCTGCCTACCTGGCGTAATGATCAACTCAGTGAACTCCAGGTTTGACCTAGCGCACGGATGGCTCTAGGCAATGCAGTTTGACCTGCCGTTCGAATTGAGATGAAAACTGATAATTCAGCATTTTACTGGTGAATCATACTTATATATAAGAGGCCCCTTTGTTTTAAAAGCTTACTTTTGGAACAAGCTAGGAATTCACGAATGTTGAAAAAAGCTTGCTTAGAATCTGTATTTGTATTGTTCACTGGAAAACCCATTTTTGGGAGTGTGCAGTAAAGTTTCATTCATTCATTCATCTTTGAGTGTTGTTGACTTCCGTTCAAAGATTCAAGCTATGTATTACGTATAGTTAGATCATTGTACGTCAACAGAACTTTCAGTTTGAATTCAAAATGTAAAATGCGAGCGAAATAGACATCCAGATACACTAATAAAAAACATGTCGTAAATATCCGTTTGAATTGTTTGTTGCGAAGTGTAAAATTAAAGTGAAACCCTACCTTTATTTTTAAGACATCTTGATGCTGGAAACGTTATAATCTTCCATCAGCAATGCGTCCTCTTTGTGCGTGACTGTCAAGATGTCATTCTTTTTCAGTTCGGCTCGAGGAATATCTTTGTGACCAGATGTTGATTGCATGTGTGCATGTACTTACTTAGTAACCGAGGTGAGGACAGCTAGACTGAAACAAAATGCTTTTTAATTTTTTTTTATCTCGACATTTCGACCGATGCCCTCAATTCGTCCTGTTGTGGCTCACTTAACAAAAAAAAAAAGAAAAAAACGTAAAAGCGGGTCGAAGGCAAAGGCAGTGCTACTTATCTTAGAATGAATTAGCGGTGATAAATAGACTTTAAATTAACACACCAAGTTGCAAAAATGTCATTTGAAATATCTACGAGCGACACAAAGTCTGTGTCCAAGTTGCTTTCTCCTAGGCTATTTTCTGACCTCATGGCACATAAATGTAGCTAAATGAAAGTTCCAGGTTGTGTTTATTGAAAACTTGATTGTCTGTGACAGGAAAGGAAAATATTCAGGCCTTCGAAGCTAAAACCATTTAATGTGCAATCTCGCCTCATGAGATGACAAAGTTATTTAAGTATTTATTAGTCTATAAACTTAGCTTTTTGCTATCGTGATGTGGTATTTTTGTCTCGTTTTTCACCGCTTCAAACTAGACGCAAAAGGTCAAGTTGTCGCTTTTGACTGTCCTCCAGAGAATTCGGCAAAGGAAATAACACCCATCGAGAAGTTAACTTCCTCAGGTTTCATTTACTGGTATTTTGTATTTTCGCAGGAACATATGAAACATGTTTTGTTCGATTGTTCCTCTAATTTCGGGCGAGACAAGCTATGCCTTTCTGTCAAGAAGATACTGGAATCAATCGATTGGATCAAAATATCGAACTGATAACTCAGTTAATTAATTGTGTTTTTGATCATTCATCGAATAAGACTTAACGGAGGATGAAAGGTGGGTCAATGGATAGCGACTGACAAAATAAAACTTTTAAAATATTTTGTTATTAAAACATTACGAGGTTGTCGTTCATGATAGGGAACAACGTAGACCTGCATTATTTCTCCTACTTTTTTTAAATTTTTCATGTGATTTCGTCAATTCTCCATCTAATTCTAATTCAATTAACTCAAAGATTGTGCGGTAATCTGTAAATCTTGACCATCTTGTTCTCTTGTTTTTGGTCTATAATTAGAATTCTGATCACCTCCTTGGTTGTTTTCGGAGTTGCTTGTAATTTGATGTTCAGCCGATCCTTTGATTGAAAGACACTACGTCTCAAATCTCATGATTCTCACGGCTTTACTCTAAAAAATTCCCTTGCATCTCTGAAATGTCAAAACATACTTTTGTGTGGCGTTTTCAGCGTTTTAGTCAGAATCAAGCGTAATCCTGAGAGGCTTAGATTATTAACAGGTCAAACAAGGACGGTGTTCTCTTACTCCAGAGATTTCTCCGAGGTCACGAGTCGAGTAGGCAATATTATCATTAAGATATTAACTTTTCATCATTTTCTTTCTAATTCAGTTTGCTTCTTCTGCTTCCTTGTGATGCTATGGAAAAAGAACTACTGTGTGCGAGTTATATATACCGCCCGGAATACCAGAACCTCAAATTTCACAGTTGTTTTCAGGGTGTTTTATGATGTCTCTCGTGTAATATTAATCCATCATTTTATTTTCCATTCCTCATAAACGTTGTTTCGCTGTTAAATAACAAACCAAGTGCAATAAAATATTTTCCTTTGTTAATTGGGAGCAAAACCATAAAACGGAGATCCAAATTTGCAAATCAACAGCGAAAGCGATCTCGTTATAGTCTTGACCTCGCGGCTTTCATTACTACAGTACAGAAATTGTATGATACTATGCGGTCCGTTTTTCCCAACCTTCGTTCCTATAAAACTCCTTAACTTTTGAACGAAATTCCAGCCGGATATGGTCCAATGTTATTAAAGAAGGCAAAATGTTTTGTTGAGACGATGTATAAGGTGGCAGTCGGCTCGGCTCCGGTAGATATGTGGCCGGGTCGTGGTATGAAATTGACAGATAATTATTTAACTCGTCCAACAAGATGGCAGATGCAAAGCCGATGAGCGCAGTTGACAAGCATGTCGATTAGATTTTCGACTTCAAAAAGGAATGAAATTCAACAGTTTCGTTTGGTTGCTAACAGACCAGTAATGATTAAAACAACATCGAAATTGGATAAACGAGTCATACACGGATCAGTCCGTAAATACAAAGAAATGTAGGTACTCACAAAAGCAGTCTTCTGAACCCTCTGGGCTTGGCGAGGTGACGACTTAGAAGGTCGGACTCCACGTATAGTGTACCCTCTGTTGTAAAAAAGCAAAAAGATTAAGAGATGTCAAATTCTCGAGGCGAGACTTTGAGCGGAGCCCCTGCCGGTCAACTTTGTTTCTTGAATATACAAAAATAATCATGTAACTCAAGGAGCTATGTGAAAATATGAGTAATATGAGTAATATGACTAAGTTTATGATGTCCATGAATGGTTGGGCGTGTTTTTCCACTGCAGACAATGACCGCAGCAATGTCATTGATAAAAATAAAAATAATAAATCAACATAAACCTGCCGAAATAAAAAAGCTTGACCCGCTGTTTTAAGAGACTTGTTGTAAAATAAGTCCAAGACCTTGCCACGTCGATATGTTTGTTATTCGTTACTCCAGCATGACCTCCTCACTTGAAAATACTTCAACTGTTCGCTCTATTAATGGCTATTGAAAAGCTTTCAGCTCATCCAGAAGTAATCTAAGTGAAACCAAATCTGTTTGTTGTTAAACCTCAGATATTTCTTTCGGGTGTTTGGTGGCCACTGTCCTTAAAAGCCCTTCGGGAGAAGTTCAACAACTGAATGTGTAACGCTGCAGGCAATAGTGCTATATAATTTAAAGTAATATAATCGCAATATGCTGTTTGTGATACACAATGTTATCTTGATTCGACAGAATTGCCACCTTCTACAAGAATTTTACTGAGCCAAAGCCTTTTATCGTCCTATCAGTTACCTAGAGAGCCGATTTAACATGTGTAAAAGCAATTTAAAACGCTTGTCATGAACTAGCCTTACATAATATATTTTTAATCTTAATAACGAATGAAATTTACTATTTTGAGAAGAATTGCTAGCTCTGGCTGCGCAGTGAATAATATTTTTGTTGAACACTTTTTAGCTCTTTTTCCAGTGTTTTCCTCAGTTTTTAGTTTTTAACGACATTTTGTGAAGCGCATTTGTAAATTTAAATAAAATTTGGGCTGTATAAATTTCAGCTATTATGGGAATCCCAAATGTTACTTAGAATTAAAAGTTTCTTTTGGTCGTGAGCATTTTCCTGCTGATGTTGTCCTTGTCGTTTTATTTATGTTTGTTTATTTTATATTTCACTTGAATTTTCCTTCACAACGAAAAGTAGCATTACATAATTTTTTGTAATTTTGTTGTATCGTATTGTAACTTTTATCGCATTTTATTGTAATTTTAGCTAATTCAATACCAAAAAGCCCCACGGCATTGAGAGTGTTAAAATAATTTGTATGCTCGTGCCTTTTTCCTAAACTAGTGCGTAGCACCTAAATTGCGCTGAAATGGTATAAAATATGCTTACCGTACGTTTGGCATTACTTATCATGTTTGATATCTGAAAAAGATGGGCCCACCTCTCGACTGATTAGATATTCCCGCAGAAACTTCAAAGGATCGTCTGGGTTCTAGATGATTTTAAAATAGGTGAACAAAACAAAGATTGCAACAAAACGGGTTTAAGAATTCAGCGTCTGGAAGCTTTAAAAATGTCCATATATTATTACTCCTTTCAGGAAACAAATAAGTGGACGATCGAGTAGAAACCTTGTTGCAGCATTTCAGTGTTTGAAGGGGAAGCGATTCACTTACGTTTCTACAGTGTTTTTTAGAGTTACTAAATAAACCGGGATGATGTAACTCATTAAGCACTTTAAACTTTTGTTGCTTAGAAACTTCAAAGAATGGTTTACTATCACTGAAAGCCATATAGGCACACCAACCTTCAGCTTTCGATGTATAAGTAATTAAAACTTTTAAATGCGCAGTGCTTAGAACGATCTCACAATTAGCGCATTTCTTCATATCCGCGACGCTGTCATGTAATGCTCCAATTCCAAAATGACTACAAGGAAAGACAGCAAAAAAATCTTTTGGCTTTACCTGTAAGACAGTTCTTGATAAATAATTGGAATACATTATGAACATTGCATGTTATGATGATTAACAACTACGAGGTTGGGCATAGATTTCAGTACATCGAAAAGTGGCACTGCACATCGGCAAAATAAATCATTTATGAATCGAACAAATAAATCATTCGCATCATCGAGACAGTTGAAAATCGCGCGGGCCTCGGGTAGCGAATTCTTTCGAAAGTTCTTTGAGTTCACTTTCTCTTTTGTTGTTGTTGTTGTTGTTGTTGTTGTTGTTGTTATTGTTATTGTTGTAGTATGTAACCTCCAATTCCTGTAAAAAAAACCTAGTTTAAATCATTTAGTTGAGGTTTTTTTTTATAATAGGAACATTTCTTACTCTTCTTAAGAAGATGTTCCAAAATGCTATAAATTCTCCGATTGACGTCAACGGTTTCAATGGCCATGCCAATTTTGAGATGTTGTAAAAGTCATCATTACCTACGGGCAGTATAAGATTCATTCCGCTGAATATAATGTAATCAATTGTTTTACACAGCATCAACACAGCTTTTCCAAAACAGTCGTTTGAAAATAATTGGTTTTCAATGTTCACACAGGAGGTGAACATGAAGCGAAATACGATTGTGGTTCTACGAGAAACACCGTGATATAAAATAATTTTCGTTAATGACAGTTTCAAATAATATTAGTCGTTGTTTGAAATATTGCAGATACAAATCGAAGGCATCTGAGCAAAAAAACCTTTACCGTACTCTTTAATTTGAAAGAAGGCCATATGTTAAGTTCGTTTTCAGTGTGCCATATATTTGTCGTAGATCGAGATTTTGCAAATTTTGATCAATGAAAGAAACCTTGAAATGATAAGTTGCAGTAAATTCCCAAATGTTGTAACTAAGGCAAGTTTACATGAAAGCAAAGATTTCTTCACCTATACGAAATGTTGTTCTGAATGGCAGCACCAAGGATTCGCTTTCCTTTTCGAGCTATAATACAGTGTAAATACAAGTGCCCACCGCGATGAAAAACACATTTTTTATATACATACACATTTTTTATATATATTTTCCGGCGAAAATAACCAAATAAGTATTACACCAAAAGTTAAAGCGAAAGTCTGAAGAAAAGTCTGATTAGATGATCGCTAACGTTGTACTTAAATTGTCCGGCTCTGCTCCTAAGCTGAAAAGAGAGGCCGATGTTTTTGCTTGTAACTTTACAAAATATCGTTGATAATACTGCAAAGGAATCGCTCTGGCTATTTTTCGAACTCGTTCAGACTAAAACTGGCATAAGCTTAAGTGTTAACTACAACCAAAAGTACACCTCTATGCTTTCATCATATTTTGAAACTAACATACCTAAATAGCTATTGGACGAATTATTTTAACTGCAAATTCACATTCCAACTGCTCGTGAAAACTCTAAAGTGGTACTGAATTAAACTCAGATGCCGAAACGAATACAATTAGTTTTATCCGCGCTTAAAGAGAATAAAAATAGAGACCAATATATGATGTACCTCTTTACATGTAAAAAGGGAATGCTCTAAAATATTATTTTCGTGAAATTAACCAGACTGTCGCAAAACATGCGAAATACGTAGAATTGAGATGAATTTTAACAAATGTAGTTAGATTCGAGAAATCCCTCGGAAATCAGAAAAATACTTAGAGCTTAGCTTTCAAACAATCAAGTCGACTTCAGTGTTAACGAGATAAAAACGGTGATTTCGAAATTAGCAAGGAAGAAAGGAGATTCTCACCTGAATAGAGGACCGTTTAAGTTTAGGAAAACACAGTGCCTTTTCGTGTTAATATCATGAAAAGCTCCAGAAATAAAGTTATTCAGTTATTCAGAAGCAATTAGTTTATTTCAATTCAAATAATATCAGTGAATATTTTATGTCGGGATAAACGAGCTTAAGATGTCACTCAAACTAGTCTTCCTGAGCTAAATATTTGCTAAGAATCTCTCATTATTAAGGAACAAAATTTGTTCCCATTATGTAATTCCAAAACAAGTTGGAACAGTTTGAAAGCCGGTTTGAAGGCGAACAATTTCAGAGTGCGAGAGAAGAGTTTTAAATTAAAAATTGAACTTTTGATCGTTCAAACAGATTTAAATTTGAGACAAAATATGTTGTTTATTTTCATAACTTGCGGTTTGTAATCAGAGACGGGTTGAATTTATTTTAAAGTGCGCAGATTCGATATATTACCAGTAACACTTGAAATCTTGGTCATTGAAGGACAAACAAAAACTCTAATTTCATTCAGGGGTGGATTGGTGATAAGCCTGTAGCCCTTTACACCTCAAACTCAGTGAAAGGTGCTAAGTACTCTTCACGCTAGTCTACTGTATGCCGTAATCAAGAAAATCCTAAGATGTGAAGGTATCCCATTCAGCTCTATCTGATTCAAATAAAAAAATTGCGAGTGACTTGTTTTTGTTGAAAATCTAACACCATTGGAAGCGTTAAGCCAGTTGACGGCGGATTTGCATGCAAAAAACTGATAAGATTACGATCGCGCCCGAATCAAAGCCCTCGCCTCACGTTAGCACGGACAGTTTCGATTTTTCTGGAAATTTTTTTCATCCTTTCTTCTGAGTTACCGAACTCTAAACATTTCAAAAGGTTTTTTTGCTTTTTGTTTTTCAATACGATCTTGAAATATAAAGAAGATATATTTTATCGTAGACAAGTTAACTTTAATGTGTCAAAAAAGCAGTAGTTTGCGGCCAAGCCTTAAACCAAAACGTAAAACACAAACAGTACTTTCTCTCCATTTTCAGATTCTCTTGACGTGTATTTTCTGCCATGCTAGAATTTGCCCACCGGTAATACGAGCAATTTGGGTTATTAAGTATTTTCGCACCTTTCAAATCAGGGTGCGCGTTTGAACAACAGTTCCATTGACAATAGATTCGCCTGTGGTTCACGACTGAAAGCACTAGCGATTTAATTACAGTTCATGGGATTTGTTTTCATTGCAGTCAGCTTGTCATCGTTCGATTTTTTTTTAAGAGTTATAGATTTTATCGAGTCCTGAGCGATAAAACTAGGAACAATGGAAAATGCAAGTCCTGTTATAAATAAGTATTCACTAGAAATGTTCGCCTAATGAGGACGGC